GGAAGGATCGGGAGAGGGGTCGAGTCCGGGGAAAATGGGCAAGGCGGGCGGTGCCGAAACGACGGCGGAGGGGAGGGGGCAACCACAGGTGGCGGTACCGGCTCGCTGGGGCGTCTCCCTCTCCGACACCACAAGCTCAGAATACACGACGAGGTCGTCGGCCACCTTCTCCTCGACGACGTCGTCGTCGTCGTCATCGTCAAAAGAAAAAGCGAAGGAGAAGGCTCGGCCAGGCGCGACGGGTGAGGGTCTTTCGCCGGGAAGGCCGGCCGGGGAAGGGGGCCCTGTGCGACCCTCTTCATCGCCCAAAACGTCCCCGGATCCTACCCAACCGCGCGGCGCCTTCGCGGAGGAGCGAGCCGGTTGGCCACCGCTCGGCATGGCTGCCGACTCGGTCGAAAAAATCGTGGATGGGATTCAACAATGCGGGATCAAGGCGATCGCCCTCGATGACATGCGGCAGCAGCTCATCGAAGCCTTCCATTTAGTGGACCATAAAAAGCCGAAGGGTGGGGACGCCAAGGGGGGGACGACGGAGCTGAGCGAATCCGCTCGCGCTGAGCTGGCTGGTACCCTCTACACTCTTCGCGCGCACCTGCAGCGACTACAGACTAGCCTCACAGAACAAGACTCCCAACGGAAGCGCCGGCAGGAACTTCCTCGTGATTCTGGGGTCAAAAATAAACATGCGAAAAAGAAAATTACCGTAGAGATTATACATGACTACGAAAAGGAGCCGTTGCCTTATAAGAAGCCGCCCTTTCGCAAAATGATTTGCCCAACAAATCATAATAGCCGACATGGCTCAGAGTCCAAAAAGACAAAAGTAATGACCCTCAACGGGTCCGTAGCATCTGATTCATACACCCCTTTTGAATCACAGTCCTATAGTCTGGTCGAGGATTACGTGAGCGAAAAAAAAGACAGAAAATCCCCAACGAGCGTTTCGGAATATACAAGGAGTGTTGAAAGTTCATCCTTGGAATCCTCATCCCGGTCATCTTCCAGGAGGCACTCAGCATTATCGCTGGTAAGCAGTACGCTCACCAGCAAGAGTAGCTCACTGGCCTCGTCGTCGTCTTCTCGTAGCGTTTCCTCCACAACGACCTCGTCACGGGACCGTAGGAGGGGCAAGAAAATTACCCCACAAGGCGCCGCGAAAGGTGGGCGAATAAGCTCCGACAGTAGTTCTCAAAGCGATAGCAGTGCGGAGAACCTTTTTTGGAAAAGGCGCGCGAATGCGTTGAAGAGGAGATATTAGCGCGATGCGGCCGTGGCTCGAAGAAGGTGAACTAAGCAGAACCTGGCGTTGATATCTGAAGCATTTTGTACATGGCAAAAAGGGTGAGAAATACTTTCGACGCCCTAATGAAGGCATTACACGTTTCCATACATTACTTCTATTGCGAAGAGTGGGGAACACGATAGAGTAGTCGGTACTAACTGGCTAAATCGCGCTAAACTACCTTTTTATTACATTCCTGATTATATTTTCAATAGACCTTCTATGCGTTGGAATACATTTTTCCTACTCTTTTCACCGATCTCTTAAGTACTTTTTTTACTGATGTTTCAATAATTCCGCTAGTTTGTTTGCCAAATTAATTTTTATCTTGTAATAAGT